CCCAAATGTAGTTATAATGCGCATTGGAATAGCTTTGGGCTACTTGAAGTATACATTGACAACTATATGATAATAGATACCTTCAATTTAGCCAACAGAGCAATTTGAATGCATGAACAGGGCATCGCGGTAGGTTTCCGTGATTGAGGTTCAGCCTTGGGCGGGGTAGACCTCACATCACATTAACCTATGATAGTTATATGTTGCGTGGGTGCTTCGGGTTCTCGCACTTTGATAGGGTATTCATTTAATTTATCATCGTAGAACACTGGAGTATACAGAGTATTTGTTATTCATTCAGTAATTGGTGTAGCACCGTGGTTTGTGTTTCTTTGGTTCGAGCATTTGATTTTCAAAAGTCCTACGGCAAATCAGCGATCAGTTTGTGTATGTTTTGTGATTCCTCCTGCTTGTTGCTTTCCAGTCACCGTCGTTTGTCCTAAAATTAGCACGCATTACGTTTCCATCTTTCTATCACACAAAAGGGATAGAATCTATTAGCATGTGCTTGAGTTTCTTATCTGTGCATATTTTGTCTCCGGCGAAATGTTGCACAAAAACATCTTGTCAAACAACACAGATACCGAAAATCATGAACCGGTTCAGCAACCAGGTGCCTTGAGATAGTTTTCATTTTGAAACTGCTACTTATGTTTGTTTTTTGTCTTCTCTCCGTTATCGAAATATTCAGTATGAGAAACCTCAGAAACATTGAAACAAAGAATTTGCATCGCCGCTCAAATTTTAAGAAATTCTTTAAAATAATTGATTTCGAGATTTCATTCGATGAATGCCTCATCGGGCAATCGGCTTATAATCCCTCTGAGGGGATTGGGAGAGATCTACTTTGATATGATTTGTTTTAAATACAGCTAGTTACAAAAATCCAGTTAATCATGTAATTCCAAGTTGTTAATTAATAATGGAATGTATTGCAAATCCAGAACAGTTGTCCTCTTGGACTTGTTGCTCCTGGACAGTCGAAGTACCTTCTGTTGTGTTATATTGTATATTGTGTAACTTTGACAAGCACTGGAACTCACACTTCAGTTAAAAAGATGATACATATCAACCATCGCACTCTTCACATTTCATGGAAGTGAAATTCTCACTGAACATAAAATCGTTATAGTCCAAGGTTAAGGCGTAACTTGTCTTTGAATATGGGTCCACGGGTACGATAAGCGGGGCACAGTGAAACTTCGGTAAGCGTTTACACGAGCTCGTGTATGTTAAAATTCCCTGTGGAAATGGATGAGAGCAACAACGTATTAATTCAGGATGCAAAGTGTTGTTAAGATCTGTCAGAATCCCTTTCGCAAAGCGGTGGTATACAGTTGCGTGGTAATGATGTGAGCGTTTTGCAATTAACTCTTTACGGAAAGTGGGAAAATGTGACCAATAGTCGTTAGACCGCGGTGTAGGGCTTTGAAGTCCCGTTTGAGTAAGCCGGGCGAAAATAACCAGAGAGCAATGTAAAAGATGGAGAAGACACCTATTTACAACAGTAGAACTAACCGGTTTAGAATTTTAAATGACAGGCCTCTCAGTTCATCGGCGCAATTAAGGATGAGATGATAAACTAAGATTGTTGTCTTTAATGATTACAAAATACCTTACTGAGTTCATCCTCTATATACAGAATCGTTATTTATCGCGGTGGAAAAGCATTGAAACCCTATGAAAATTTGACACATTTACTATAATTTTAACTCAGCCCCGAATATGGAGATAAATGTTGGAGTTAAGAAAGAATACTGCTGAGGAATCCTAGGGCGGAAGAAGATGACATGCGATGGCACAGCATATCATCATCTGCACAAAAGCAAAGCAAATATAGAAGAAACACAATGAATAACGATGGTGTATGTGGAGAATAAATCCGGGAATAACACAACTACTTAAATCACCCCGAGTTTTGTAGTGGGTTTCGTTCTGTAAGTCTCGGAAACAAGTGCCCAGCACGTACTAAATGAACATTCTAATTGAGTACATTTTTTGATATTTTTCTACCTGAAGGATAACACAAAAGATGACTGCGCATAATTTTAGGTGATTTAAAACATATGATGTAACTTTTCCCACAGCAGTTGGTTTCAAACACTTGGTACATTTCCCTGTCACAGTTGGTTTTACGAACAAGTTGCAATAGTTCAGTAAACGAAAAATTGCGCCTTTAAGTACATCAGATTATTGTATCTGAAACGTATCCAACTGTTCATTGCAAAATTAGCCAGTACACGCAATTAAGAGGACTATCCAACACGATGTATCAAGGGAATTGTTCATCGGAAAACCCAGAAAGACTAGGATATTTGAATACGCAACAATTTTTATCAGTGAACCCTGATCAGAATCCATTTGTCTTCTGCAAACATGTTACTGACTATCTTAAGTTTGACTATAATCAGTGTTATCCACTTGAAAATCTTCATCTATAATGATAAGCATTCACCATCGGCAAGCAAACAGTTGCATAAACGGAAAGAACGAGCCTATAATCATTGCCAAAACCCACTTCAAGAGGCTTACGAGGTTGATCAAATCTGACAACTGCCTAAATAAATCAGTTACGTTCAAATTATTTGAGAGATAATTATCACTATGGGTTGTCACTGCATCTGTCGAAGATTACATATCACCCTACGTGTCAATCTTTGCGACGTGGATCTCAATGTCAGGTTGTAACCAACTTTCCTGGAGTAGAAACACCCCTACATTCTTACGTTCCTTTTGGTGCATCATGCTCTTCACATAATCGAACGAATGTTACATGATATAACAGACGGAACGGTAAGCCAGCGCGGTGTTTTTTATGGTGCCCTTGAACACATTTTCCCAGTTATTTGATGCGATTACTCTCAGGTTGGGCAAAAGCCAAAAATTGATGTTTCTGCGCGATAAACTGTAAGAATTTCGAAAAATTTGGCATTCTATGATAACATTTGACCTTGGGCATTTATCGAGTTGATTTAAAAGTGATCACCACAGGTTCCTTCACCGCAAGTTCACGATAACAAGGCACGGCCAAATTCAAAGGCCCCACCATGTTTCAGCCATTGAAGGTAGTGTGAATATCCGGATTCCGTTGAGTTCTGCATGCTATTGTTTGCCTATCTGTGCCGATAAAACACAACTGACATAAGTGTGGATCCAAGTTGGAATGTGACCGAATTTAGATCCCTAACAGAGATTGAAACGACGGCACTCTAATTTATTTATGCAACACTAATCAGGACCTGAAAGAAAACCTTCACAGGTTGAACATCTGAATCTGTTTGGTGTGCATAAAACGGAAAATTTTGGGTGGCCGCCACCAGTCTCAGTCTCTCCGTGTGTTGAATAATCCACTAAGTGATTCAGGCAGGCATATTGATAAAAACTTCATTTCCGTTAACTCCTACCTTGAAATAAATAATCTAGGTCATGCAGACAGTGAATAACGGTCTGTAATCGGACTCCGATGAAGATAGAAGTGAGAACACAATTATCTATCATCCCTGATTGATTTATTACCACACGGGATGTAAATTAGAATGACCAATTCAATGGACAGTTCGGACCATTTTATGCGAAAACAAGTCACGGTAGTTTTTTCTGATAATTTGTAACCCTTTGAGACGAAAAACGAGCGGCAAGTGGGGGTAACTAGGGTTCCCTTTGCTGTTTACAACCTTCTTTATAACCCACTGTCATTACCGCCACCACGCCGATTTGCCGATCCGATTCGAAACGAACCCCGGATTTGGTTGTGCTTATTTCACATGGTACTATCGATTTGTGAACAATTCACCTGCAGGCGCTTCAGACCACCATGGTATTTCCATCTATCTATTCCGGTTCGATGATTGTACGCTGCCCGTTATGTCTCCGTGAAGTTATTTGCGTATGCGCGCCAATGAGTGCTTGACCAGATGCGTTGAACGTTGATCAACCCTATCGCTTACCTCGTACACAACATCAATAATCATTGGTGAGTATGTTGAACCAATGTGACGTAAAATGGGGTACCAGGAGCACATCAGGATGCGATACGTATGACGTCCGTGATGCCAAAATGTGCTCCAAAATGTCATACCCTAGCGATCTAACCTCTTGATTATTATCGTCTGGGTGGGTCAAACTTGGAGGGTCATTGTTTGACTCCTTCAAGATACATAATTGCACTGGAGGAAGCCGTGGACTAATCTATGACTCACTCTTTTGTGTACACACATGTTATCATACAAATGCAAACCTGATATGTACACAATCCAATCCATTGTTACTTACTCGTAATATCACAGAACAGCTGATAGTACGTACGCACGCGCAATACTGTGTTGTTGCTGGTTGTGATTATGTTGTTACACAATCGGTCATGCATGGTGTGTTCATTTGGACCTATCATATTTACTGGCGCTTTGACACGCACAATTACTTTCAATATGGAGGCCTGAGCAGTTGACATGGTGAATGTTTCACTGGAGCACATATTTCGTCCGGTTCCGGTCCCCGATATAACAGGATCATGTGAGGTGGTTTCAGAGACTGGGGAGAGAATCAGGGATAGAAAGAGAACGCGCACGCGGGGGAGGGGAGGGTATAGTGGTACGGGAATGAAGTGAACTAAAACCCGAAAAGCACACGCGCACACACATACACGCATATAAACATACTTGAGCATTCAATAGCAGGAGACCGCCCGTCATTACGCACCGTGATAAGTTCGTGAGGGCAAATGTTTATTTAGGGTTAAACTTGAAGCTTCCGCACAACCAGAGACTTATCACTTTCAACCGGTCGGATTGCTTTGGAAAATCAAGACAACGTTGGCCGGGACTCGGGTGCAGACATAAACATACACAAATGCACAAATAGTTACACTAGCTTACACGCAACGTGCTTCACTCTAGTTCGCTCGCTTGTGCACGAAACTTTCCACATTCGAACCACCCTTCCCTCCACAAGTTTGACCCATTAGACAGTGTTTCTTACTTGTGCTTACGATCAAAACAACCATGGAGAAGGATCGGTTGTGTGCAAATGGGAACCAGTGTCTACTCAGTGCGGAAGAAAAAGTCATTCTGAATCAGGGAGAGGATTCGACACGGACCCAATTGCTCACTGTGCCGATGGATGGTCTTACGGTGGAAACTGTTCGGGAGAGTCCAACCCCGATGAACGGTCACAAATCGCCTGTATCCATATCCGGGAAAAAGATCCTGATTAGAGATCGATGGAACAAAAAGGCGGACTTTTTGCTCTCTGTGATAGGTTTTGCGGTCGATCTGGCCAATGTGTGGCGCTTCCCTTATTTGTGCTACAAGAATGGTGGAGGTGAGTCATTATCCAAATTGTAAACGCATCCCATCAGATCATCAGGTTACGTCTAGAATAGAGTTTACTTTTTCAAAAATGGATAAACGATCCGCCAGGAAAGCTAAATAGGAATCGATTAAAACTAGGAATTTTCAAAATTTGAACTGGCTATTTACTCATAATAGCAAGGAGGTTAGCTCACACGGTAATCATCGAAACTTGATAGCATGCGGACGCTGATAAATAAAATAATTAATGAACCTGAGCTCAAGTGCGCACATAGTCCGAAACACATCTAATTCACATTCATTGTATCAGCCATGAGACAGCTATTTAGTTAGATCGCACAGGAGAGTCTGAGAGCAGCTTCCAGATCTTCAAGGTACACATGCGTGTAGCGTTGGCTGCGATTATGCGTACGATCAAGGGGTTATTATTTCACTGATAGTGCACAGGTTTCTTTGGTTTAAATATTCCTTGAGAGCACCATTTTGCTTCACTAATCAACATCTGTTTTACTACTGGAAACATTCACGGGACTGGTGCATGTGATCACCCTCCGAGAGCGATCTGTATTCAACAATTGTTACAAATTCAAATATCATCTGAGATAAGCACAAACTATTTTTTATACGTTTTCAGGATATGTAGCATGCTTTATAACCGAAAAATCAACCTCATTAACCCTGTTCCAAAACAAAAGGAGCTACCCAACATCAGGTCATATTTGATAAGGAAATCACTTGTTTATATCTAGGTAGCTTAAAGATCAAGCTTTGCTACATATCCAAATAACAAATTTTCAACAGAAAAAAATTAATACGGCTTGTCCGATTTCCCTCAGGGTCCTTCAGAAAGGGAGTTAAAGGCAAAATCATACACAAGTCACATTTTTATACGGCTTCTTTCCCTTATAGCTGAGATTAGTTACTCTCTGAGACTTAGTGATGGCCCTATAGTCTGATGTACCAACCCGGTCCCTGCAACCCAATTCTAGTTGTAATCAGTTCTGCCGGTTTGTTATCCCTTTCAGCCTTTTGTTGGTTTTTTGATGAATTTCCAAAGCTAGGAATTTCGGTTCCCATAACGAAGTGGTACGTTCATTGGGGTTCATCTCTTCCACTGTTTACCCCAGTAAGGTTCATAGTGATAGGTACATCGCTGAACACACATGCAACTGATTTCGCGTCATGCACATGTGTCGTTCTAGGTTCTAGGTAATTCGTGTGCGTTTCCTGCTTCACATAGGATTACGTAACTGGGTCAATGTTAAATGATTTAATAAGCGGTTCCTTGAAGAAAATAGAATGTGTGAATCGTCCGATGACAATATGTACCACTGATTAATTAACAGATGAGCGGGTACTTTAAAACTCCAGACTCGTTTCTGAAAGCCTTCAAGGTCAGACGGAAGCTAGTTCTGTTTGTACAGAAAAGTAGAGGACAAAGTGGATGAACAAATTCTTACCTTTTATTGCGTAAAAATTAAAGTCTCTAAAGTTCACAGTGACGGGTTTACTTATTTTATTGAGCAAGTTGACCGTGCTTCAGTTCCACACTGAATTCCGAGGGTATATGATAGCTTCATGACAACCTTGTAGTTCGATGTGATTTGTGTACGAAAGCCATTCCTAGAGTCACCCGCATTTACAGATCTGTATACGTACTGTTATACAGCAACGCGTTGGTACACGGTTACCGGTGACTCCCTAAGATCTCGATCATTATTTGATAGATGTCAATGTAACATGCAGGCCCACTAGTTAAAAAGGATTTCCTTTACATCCGTTAGACTAGTTAGTTGTAGAAATGGTTTGCCTAGCAATTAGTTTCTTCAAAACCCGAACTTCATATCTCCGGGGAATTTAGCGTCCGTTATCCTAAGCGTGATTTGGCCCTTGTATCAAGTTGTGTGCGGCTGATTTGTCCCTCAGTTTTTACAGTAACAAATAAGGGATGAATAAATAATTAATATAAATCTGCCAGTAGTCCGGTTGAGGAACTAATTTTCGGGGGAATGTTATGCGTATAGTTGCTTTTGTTTGAATTCTGTGGGTTCTTTATTGTTTATTATTTTCATTGCAGTATTTATTCGTTTTTATTTAGGTTGACTCACCCTTTCATTTGTAGTAAATGCTTGAGCGACAGGCTTTTTGCACCCTACTTGAGATTGTGCAGGGAGAGAGTAAGCCAAAGGACCTGAGTTGGCAGGACCTCATTCCAGACCACACAGTTTTAACATTGCGGGTAATTAATATGTATTGTGTGCCACAACAGCCTTAGTGGGAACGCACACAAGGTTCGTTCTGACCTTCTCACCGAGTTTGACAATTTCAATGCAAGCGTTTCATCGTCAGCCCTGGCAACATCTTCAATGCTTGTGGAGTGGCGGTGGTCTGCGTGTACCCTCTTCTTTTATGTTCTTCGTCGGCCACCTTTTTCCATTTTTCCCTTCGTTTTTCATCTGGTTCGCCAATAAATTAGAAGTGATGGACGTTCTTCACAGATTGTGCTTTTTCAGGTCCGTTACCGCATCATGACGTGACCTTTTGTTACGTCATTTGATCATAGAATTCCATGTCATCCAGTTCGATGAGCCTGATTACGCAGTTGATAGAAGAGTGCCAACCCTCGACAAATTCTTTGTCGATCTTTTCTTTGAACGATCATTTTCACTTTTTGAAGTCAAATCCATGCCCTTCGTGGTTTTCATGGAAGGCGATGAGTGAGAGTGGGTCAAGCGTACTGATGGTCAGTTAGTGTTTAATGAACCTACAAATCCGCAATTTAGACGGAGGAACGCCCCCACCCCTTCATAGTTTAACGATGAACTAAGTGAAAAGAAAACGGAACTATGAACATATATAAACAAACGGGTTTAAGCAGAACATCGCTACTTCACAATCACTGAAGACTTCATCTGAGCTGGTGATGAACTGTTTGCAAACGCATAAAATAATAAGAAAGAAGAGTTATCTGGGAAAATAAGCTAGCTGAATTCAAGACTTGCGATGTTCTCTGATCGCTTGAGCGCATAGCAATAAGTAAATTACTGGACTATTGACTGATTTTTCCCTTGACTGATTTTTCAACAGGAATCTGATGAATCTGCGTTCTCGGTTGTTTCTATCTTGACTTCATTTTAGGCCTTGAACGTCCAACGTGGCCCATATCTTCCATAGATATCCTTATTTGATAACGAGACAGATTGGCTTGAAAAGACATAGTCCACAAGAGGGAATTTCATATTTTTCTTTGAAATTATGAGCCTCACGTTTTCGCAAAGGCCGAATGCAGTTGATAGGCATGCTTAACTTTACCAACTACTAAAAGCATACTCGTTTAGATTTGGATAATTCTGGTTTGAAAATCCAGGTTAAACTCTTTATAATTGTTCAAATATTATTGGGTACCATAAAATGTGCAAATTTATCGCCATGACACTTTGTACACAGAGAGCCTGACAGATTTCCTTCTTCCGTTTCTTACTTCAAATCGACTAAATGATTTGATTCCACGATCGGTTAACCTATTGCTCTGCTATCTCTCCCCAACTGCATCATACTTGCACTGCAAATCCCAATGAATCAGAACAAAAAAATCATAATTTGTACTTCGCTAATCATATTCCTGGGAGAAAAGCGTAAAAACAACAATCATAATTATCCATATGTCTCGAGTGCTTCAATTCCTAATTTTTTGGTAAGCCCTAATTGAATGACAGCTTTTCAATCGTGAAAATGCAACCAAATGGATGCACTCAGGATTCGTTAAGAGGTATATGAAAGCGCACAACTAGATTTCGACCATCGCAGTCACGTGACAAGCTACATTGACCAAATGTAGTGGTTCTGTTTGTTTGAGGTAATGACGTACAGGAGGAGGTCGTTAGACATAATCGGAATGTGTATCACTCAACGGTAACAATAACAACAACATCAAGAAAAAACAGGAAGTCACAAAGTCAGGTGGAATAGACGAAACTATGAACATGTGTTATCTCCATATCATGGCCGATACTGGAAATTAATTCTTGTTTTGGACAAATTTTCTTAATTTCAGTTGTGCGATTTGATTAGATCTGATAGAGAGCCGGTTCCGGTAGACTGACCTACTTACTATCGAGTCATAAAACAAAATATCATGACGTTAATACACTTTCTTCAAGGGTATCTCGACAATGTCATCCACGAACTTGGTTATAGATGAAGATTAAAAAAAACAACTCAGTGTACTGTTTTGATGCGATGAAAACGGTTAGTTGACTGTGACGCTGCGATTTGCGGTTTGTGAACGAGGAGGCAGATTTGTTGATTTTATTGTTCTCCTTGCTATTGTGTCGTTTGAACAACATTCACAGTAAATGGGCTGACTGCCGCTGTTCCGGTTTGTGTCACTTGGTTATTGCAAAGATTATGGTTGTTTCGGTCGCCTGTGTCAGGCTGGAGCCATGGTAAGCGAAGTGACTGAATCAGTCGCTTTTTAGAAGAAAGGAATGGGTTGAGCGGGTAAATGGTCACCGCCTCAACTCTCGCAAGGTAACGCGGGTGGACAGCTTCCAATACGTTTGCCGGTATTCTTCAGATCACTTTGAACTCGTCCTCGGTTGCTTGATGGCTGGTATCTGCAAGGTGTTCTGCCACTGCACTTCTGATCGTTTTCCTTGTGCCCGTACTCAACCAGGGCGGTTGGAGCTCTCCGAGCCTTTGTGATGATTATCTGATCGTTCTTCCTTTGTAACTTGCCGAACATAAGCAAACAAAGCAGTTGACGGTGGGGATGGAAACTGGATAAGCAAATTATCTTTGTGATTTACTGAGATTCGTCAGGCTGCGAACTGCACATGTGATGTTGTACCGTGAAAAATACAAGCAACAGCCGTTACTAAGCATCCGTTTTCGCAGCTCAAATTATTAATGGCATTTTAAACGAGGAACTATTAAAATTTCCTTGGTTTTTACTGTTCTCAGCCGTTAAAACCTTCAGAATCAACCTCTGCAAGTATCTGTTATCAGAAGGCATTTGTTTTCCGAGTTCTTGCGGTATGCAGGCCTCTAAGTAAAATATTCTCGTGTGACAAGTGAGTTTCATTCAAGTTCCATTCTACACTTCGGAAAATCAAATCCAACCAAATCTGTTCATCGCATCCGATTGATTCACTAACGAGATGTGAATTACGCTGGATACAACAGTATTGGTTGTAGGATGCAAACGCAGAAGAAATCGAGCATTATTGACAATTGTGCTTCGTTATTACCCCGATGAAACTATTCAGGAAATCGACAAAAGCATTGTGTCTTGCCAAAAGCAGTACTGAAAATATTTTTAAGTAAGACTAATATCCTGGGGAGCTCTTTTTTTACTTGAAGCCTGTGTGCTGTCATGTGATTAAACGTTCACTATCGTGATCCATCTTGCGGGTTTTACGGTTCGAAACCTCGCACTACCCTCACCACCACCACTACCACCAGCACCCGTCTTTAGAGGCATACACCCGACCGCGGAAAGATTGTTTTACCGTGATTTTGCCTGCCACTTTTAAGCAAGCTAAACCTGGACCACACTGCTCACCTCATTCACAGTCAAATGATATACAAACCGCTGTCTTGTTCTGATTAATCTCGTAAACACCGACGGTTAATAACGTATCTACCGTTAGCTGTATTTATTATAAGTAAAGGTATGAAAATCTTTTTATATGGAACTAATTGCCAAGTGCTTCTCTGTTACATTGGGCAAAACCCTTCACTAACCTTGATCACGTCGCTAGTTTTCGGTTGTCTATCACTAGACCGTTTTTCATCAAATTTCGCCGCAACCTACAATCCTTCGGCTTCGAAGCACAAATTTGAGCCATGTCTCTGTAAGCGAGTCGGATAAAAGAAAGTACCGAAATATTTTGAGGCCACCTAATGTTAATCTTTTTTGTTTCCGACAAAGGTTGATCTTGCAATGCTTGGTGAACAAATAAGAGGGTGTGGCGCTCGTGTTCTGCGCAGTTGATCGTCGTAATTGTGTCAAAGTTTGCACCGTGAATAAACTAATTACAGTAGTGGCGGTGTACTTATGTCAATTTAGTTCAATTTTCAATTTATTCACTGCCTTCAACAGAGTCCTTTTTAAATGGAGCTAGCAAAGATTGTTTTGTGCTACATTGCTCCAAGATTACTAACAAGGCTTTTCACTGCAAAATCTATACCGTTTATGTTGCATTTAGAACTTTTACTTACATGAATAGAGCATTTCAATCCTACCTGGTATTATACCTATGCGGTACTCGATTCTTCAGCAATGGACTTTATAAACACTCCACGACAGGCGAGAGTAATATTCGTCTTAGCTGACCTGCCGTCGTACGCATCGATAACGCGGATAACGATAATTTGGACGGAATGAAAGGAACCTATCGTTTCAACATCGCGGAAAACAAACGGACATTGACTTAATCTATCACAGTCATAAGTCGAGAACTACCCTGCAGACCTGAATGCTACCCTTGAATCATCCGCGCTTGCAGTCGCGTGACTGAAGCTTTTGAGTCGAGGCCAAAAACTTGTATGCTTTGTCAAAGGTTAATGGGCTAATTAAGTGGTTGATTAGTGGATAAAGCTTGTTTAAGTTAATTGCTAGTTCAAAATCACGACGTATTCGAATAAGTTGGAATTGTACTGATATTCAAATAAATTTTAATAAATAAAGAAGGTTCAATGGTGTAATGTTGGCAGGTAAATTAAAGACGTAGATTAAAATCCCAATCAGCGTCAAATCAAGTAATGAGTAATCTAGTCACACTAAACAGTACATGATGTTTTACCGCAATATCTAGATTGTCTCAGCAATCGAATCTTAATGAACAATGTCCAGTGCATGCGGCTAAAAGTGTTTATACAGAAATGGTGAAACTTTAATAGAAAGTGGACCGACATAGAGGATATGCTTAGTCTGAAAATTTTGTCCCATAAACTGAATACCGTGTTGCGTAGATTCACTATTTGCCTGTTGTTTCCCAAGTATGGTAGTCAGCTATGCGTCAAAGATGTTGGAGCTGTAGGCCTGTAATGGAGCTTGCAATGGAGAGTTTATGGAAGACTTGCACTTAACTAGTTCCAGTGATCGTTTTCCAGGGTTTGTCATTGACTCCGGGAAACTTGTGTTTTGCTCGCCAACTGACATGATGACCGGTTGAAATACGTCTACCGTTCCGATGACTCATTCATCACAATTCCTTACCTCCAATAAGCTCGTTAATTCTGTTTGAATCTGTGTTCCTCCTCTGATCTAGTTGAAGAAAACCAGGGTCCCAGAAGTTATTGATGTCAGTTTGATATAAAGGCATGACATTATTCAGCTTGCCCTCCTCGATCCAAAAGTACCGGAAGCATTGACAGTTTCTTAATAGCTAACGCTTTTCTCTTGAAGTTTTGTCGATAGTTTTATTCGAAATTTGTTTTGCATAATATTCTTTACAATCACAATGTGCCAATTATTTCTTGAGCTCTCTTTTCGTCGTTTGACCTCAAAATTATTGTTTCTCGTGGAGTCTTGAGTGATCAGCAGTTCTGATCAGTCTATGCGTGTATTCCGAGTATGATATAGTACAAGTCCTTTGGATGTTTGTAAGGAAGCATTTTCCGGTCTTTTATTCTTTCCCTAGACAGCGGATATCCAAATCAGAAGAAAGCTTGGCAATGGTAACTTTCTGCCTTCTTTTTTGTAGTCCCGTGGTACTGCAGTATGTTTCACTTCGCCGGGACAGAGGTTTTGCATGCAGCCTTTCTCGTGACAGTTTGAATAATTGCTGTCGAAGGTAAGAAGTTAGTTGCAATGATATTCTTCCCAGCATAAAGATGTCACCACTGTCTCATCGAACGAACATGCGACGAAGCACAAACGAACTTTCATGGCCAACTGGATAGGTTTGACAGCACCGTTAAATGACTGGTGTGAATGGTGTTTTCCATATACTGATTTGGTTTCGGCCCAATTTTCATAACTGAAAATTTCAACTATTTCACGTCTGACCACTTTCGCATCACACTGACAAGTAGTTGATTCCCGTGATTTTGGGCCTGTCCGTGTTTCATTTAAATGTTTGGTAAATGGAAGGATATAATTTACGTAATTCCTAAATAAATTTCACCCCAAATACTCAACTGACTTGTCACTTCTCTCTCGCTGAAACGTGTACTAGGCACTGATATATTTACTTGAGGTTCTCTGTTTGAAAACCATAAATTGATGTCCTTGTCAGATTTTCCAACTGTGATTATACAAACATATCCAAAGAATTAATTATAGTCATCCTATTTGTATTAAAAGACATCGAACTTTGTTACACCCCTGTGACAACTCTTCAACTGTGCTCCCCGACTGGGACTCAAACAACAAACGTACAGTTTAGACCTGTTGCGCTGAACAACATGGACAATAATCAACTCGCCCATGATCCGTGCCATCAGCTTTGACCCAAACCAGAAGTATGGAATCTCTCCAATCCGATTTCTCTCCTCGCTACTCAACTGTTTCTCGGTTTTCTTTTATCAACCACTGATAAGTAGCTTTTGGTTTCACATCTTTATCAACCACTCGTCACCATATTTCTATATGTCTCAGCGAATCAACGCATAATCATTCAGACATCATTTGTCGCACATTTGTTTAACAAAATCAAGAAAAAACCGAGAACGCGTTCGCAAGGTCTACCCCGTGGCTGCTTTCAACCAAGCGATGCGCGATGACCGAAATCGATCTACATGATGCAGTCAGAATGTGTGGTGTGGGCTGAGTCAGAATCATACACTGACTAGATTTCTTAATTCGCTTCATTTGTCTATCTTGTTCCATGTTATGCGTACGCAACCGATGAGAGTATACGACAGGAATTCCTCTCGCAGTGTTTGTCTTCTGACTTGCCAGTTCAAATTCACTACGGGATCCAAATGTTTCACATATATGCCAGAGGAAAACATAATCGAAAAAAAGCTTATTTGCTACCCGGGTTGTTCTGCCAATGTTACGATGGGAATCTTTGGTGAATATTACGTTCTTGTGATTATAGATTCATGCATCCAGCGCATCCAATACATACAGTTGACCAAACTATCCAACACTACCCAGACGTCATGACGCCAAGCATGACAACAGGTCATTTGTATGACTCAGATATCAATCAGTCATAAACAAGACCTGACCACGAGAAAGATTTTCGTGCAAATTTCCAGATAAATGTAAGAGATGCACCTATCATGACCGTTTGTTAGAACGCAGAGGAGTCCTCAAACACTGAGAGAAAATTTGCTGTTCTGTATAAACAAACATCAATAAAACTGTTTGCAGAAATGCTTCCTCGGGTAATGAAGAATTCCTTTTTATCATACCTTTATGCGATGAAAAGCACACGGGACAAACCCCATAGTCATAAGAGCCTGTTATTTACTCAGGGAAACCAGCAGCTTATAACCCAGGACTCGGCTTAGCGGACCCCGATAGGAAAAGTGTGGTACTTAGCCGGAAAACAGGGAAGCTGCCTAAAACAAAAGTTTGGTGGTGGCGGCAGAGTTTTAACATTGGAATCTGGGGCCCAAGGCCCGCCGTTGACGGCGATACGAAATACAAATTCAGCAAACGATAAAATCTCTATTCGAAATGTACTCCTCCAAAGTTTAAATGATATCTGTACCTAGTCACTCAGGAACGCTTTTATTTTAGCTTAAACTAAACCTTAATGAATTCTGGATAGGTGCTTATGACGATGAATTTTCCTAATAAACTCCGCAGTCACACAATCGATCCCCTTCCTGGTTCATCTCTGTGCGAAAAAGCTTTTTGCTCACTTGTGTCAAATCAACTAACTCCTATTTATTACTTTTCATCGTTTACGTTTTCAGGCGCTTTTCTTGTGCCGTACACGTTGATGCTGGTGTTCGGTGGAATTCCTTTGTTCTACATGGAGCTGGCACTGGGACAATACATCCGTAAAGGAGCAATCACTTCGTGGGGGAAAATTTGTCCACTTCTGAAAGGTGAGATTCCCCACTATATTAATGTTCACCGGTTGCGTTGCGGTAATCAAGTATTTCACTTACTCTACTAGTGGCCCTTGGTTTTATGCCTCACAGATGTCAAATTGAATTTGGATTCAGAAGTGTAGTATAAATCGTGGATACAGAGAAGGAGGTATAAAACCCNAAAACCCGCCGTAAGAATTTATAAAATGGAATCTTTGCTATTCGGTCATGGGAACTGCGTACTTGTCAGTTGAATAAATGTAACCCATTTCAGGCCTTTTAAACTCAGTTTAATTTGTTCGCTTACTCAGAGCAGGTCGTAGATAGATTACTGGGTGAATAACAGGCTGGTTTTCAGTTGTTTGTAAGCATGTCGATACTTCACCGTATACATGTTTTTATCTTACGAGCCAAACAGAGCATATTTGGGGCGATGGAACAGTCACATCACATATGCCACAAATACTGCTGTTGTATTGTATTGAAGATGAGGCGAATTATATACAAGCTTTCAGCCAAAAAAGAGACTACCTTCATATTGTTTGCAGACAAGGATAAAAAAATTGGAGCATCAAGAGTGCAAAAATTATGACTCAACCATTAAACCCATTAGAAATCTCAGAACGAATACTCTCCTTGCTGGTTAGTGTCCGGGTGAGGTATGGTTCCAAGGAGCTTTTGTAAGTAGATTTCCGAGATGGGATGAGTTTGGTTTTGAAACGAGTGGAGAGGTGGGATTTGCAAACACATAGGCCAATGTGTAAAGGATGGGCACAATCAAATAAAGCCTTGTCAGCAAGCTTCAATAATGCNAATATAAGAATCACAAAACCGACAACAGAACTTGGTCAAAATGGCTGATCATTGAGAGGTCATGTCGGAGGGAGATGGGGAACGATTTGCAGTAAAAAATACCAATCATTTTTCCGGACAATGCATAAGATGGGATTAAATGGAATACGTTACGAGGCGGGATAATTTTGTGTTATATGCTGCCAGTACTGATTAGTTGGATACGGAAACAGAAATAACGATTCAGATGGTGAATGTTTGGATATATCATCATGGATATCATCAGCATACTTAAAAGGCCTTACAGGGGGAGTAATAGGCAAGTCACTGATATAAGTCGCAGAAAGATAGGGTGATAAAATAGTACCATCAAGTACACTTAAGCCATCGAGTGACGCCGTTCACTATCTTCTTACTGATATATTTGCGAAAAGTAATCGACAAGCCATTTAAGAAGAGAAGTGGGACAATCGAACGATTAAAGCGTGTTCAGTAAAAGAGAACGGGTTACCGGGCAAAATAGAAAGAGTAATCAAGAAGTGTACAATGCATATATTTGGCNCCGCAGAAGACACGGCAATCAGTAACTTTTTTAAGAGACTCTCTTGGCACAGCAATATTGTCTGGTTGAAGGTCTTGCTGGCGGAACCTGATATGTTTAAGCTGAGTAAAACAAAGATGTCCCGAGTATGAGTTGATCTTAGGCATGATCAGGATTGGGTTATGACCACTGGTGGCTAAGGGGGAGAAATGTTTGCTACGAAGGGTATCAGCGTGATTTTTGTTTGTGATCTAGAAGAGAATATCGTCTATTGGGCTCCATAACAGTGTCGCAAAGGTTTATACAGAAT